CTGTTGTTACCGGATGTAATTCGGTATACATATCCGGTATCGAAATGCATTACTCTTAACAGGTTGAATTTTTTTTCGTTCGCAACTACCTATGCCCAGGCAGACCGTTGTGCCTACCGCAATGAGAACACGGCCGTGCCTTTCGGACGGGGTAAGAGGAAAGGGGGCCCGACGACGTTACCAAATCGCTATGGCGTAACATTTTGCTTATTCACGTTCGATTATACAATCTGGCACACTTTTACTTGGAGCGCGCCGCGACAGCTCGTCGAGCGCGCCTCGACATAACGCAGTGTCGTTACACCATTTTTATCCCTTACTTTCCAAATTTTTCGCACATGATAACGTTTTCACTTTTTATTTAAAAAAAAAAAAAAAACAAAAAAGAGAGAAAGAAAAGAGAAAAAAAAACATTTTCATGCACTTGCGTATCTATTTTCTCTCTTTATCTTAAATAAGTATTTAACGTTTCATCTAACAAGCTGTTCGTAACGGTTTTGCTAAAGTATCTAAAAATTTAGCTAGATCAATACCAGAAATTTGAAATGCCTATTCGAAACTGGATCTTCATTCACTTTAAATAATTCAATCTTGAATTACTAATATACACTATATATGTACTTGCATAGATATTGTAGTCTTTTCGAACTGCGCGCCGAATTGTTTTTCCGCACGATAAACGCAATTAAAACTAGTAATCGAATTAAATTGACAACCAATTTTAATAATTTGATGCTATTATCAAGCATTATATTATAAAGATGTTAAAACTGTTAAAAAATTTATTGCGAAAAATTTAGCTAGATACTTCATATTTAGCAAAAGATAGAATTGATAATAATTTTGTTGAATCATAAAAATAATTATGTAGAATATTTAAGAAAATTTACTGCGAAAAATTTTAACATTCTAGTAATCAGCAAATCTGTAATATGTAGTTTAAACATCCTGCATAATTATTTTGATGGTACAAAATTGTTTTTCAGATCAGATTATCTAGCTAGATTTTTAAATATTTCAATGAAATTGTTCTTTCTGTGACGAAGCTAAATTTTTTATTTTCGGAAGTATTTGATTTTTATCTCAATTTATATCTAATAATTCAATCGAGAAAGCAAAATAACGCTAAATTTCACATATTAAAATATTATATAATATTAGAATAAAATTATGACCAAGCTGCTGCTTGGCTCGCCTTTTCGCGACACTCCTCGTAAAATTCTATGGGCTAATCATAAAGTTATTATCGATGACATATGCAAATGGCAGGTTCATTCCGAGCCACGGAAATTTTTATTAAGATGTTGTCTTATTAGCATATTTCGAGTGGCCACAATTTACGATCCGGTAAACGGCGATCATTCATACTTCCGCGCAGCCGAATGGCGATTTAAATGCGCTAAAGCGCAACACACAGCGCAGCAATTTGAAAAAATTGATCCGAGAAAGATGATCGGGCGCGTTATAGAAACGAGGTTAAAGAAATGTAGTCTCGCAGAATATATTCAATTAAAGAAAGTTCGATTTCATTGTCGACAATGTCGCGGTGAGAATTGCGGCCTGCGATGATAATAAAACGCAACGAGCGTTGCTGCTTCCGCTATATACCTTGGATTAGCCTTTCTTCTATTTTCTTTTCGCTGCGATAATTGATACTCTATGCTCGCACGCAGAGAATTTCACCGCGATTGTATACCGGAGCGCTTTTCACCTCGAACTACAGCTCGTCAAGAAATGAACCTTGGCGCCACGCCGGTCCGAGAACGCGGTTGTCTTCGCGACGCCAGGTGCGCTCGACGATAATCAGCTGCCGATCCCGCTTAGTCGAACTCGCTTTTAATGGCGATAAAAAGAATAACCATACCGCAAGATCACAGTCGAGAAATTGCCTAATTTGTCGATTGCGCCCTGATTAATTTATACTTTGCACGCACCGGTCCAAACCAACGCGATTGACCCACATTGTCTATGTTTAATTAATTCCTGCGATACTTGGATTCGTCCTGCGGGCGCAGATGGCCGCGCAAAATACACCTGAATCACTAAAAACCTATAACGCCACAAGTGTCCGTAATTCGCGAAATGTTTATTCCGCGACGTCCTCAATTTGAGGATCGCTGACATGCTTAATCTTAGCGCGCAACCTCCTTCAGAACCTCATTACAGTGGGCTAAATTTTTATGTTTAGAATTGAGTCTCGAGGATTACGCTTACTTTCAATATTGAAAATTTACTTTTATATTGCGAAAGCAATTATGCAGACATATGTATGTGATTTTTATACTTTGCCTCAGATGTCGAATTTGAATGAGCTAAATTCGAAAGATCCAGGAAAAAAGTGTTCGGTATTTATGAGTAATACATGATAAAATATCAAATAATTATAGTAAAAAACTCCATTTTTATAATTACTATAATGTTAGTGATAATAATTGATATAATAGTAGTTATATACATTTCTATTTAGTAGACAATTATAGTTTAAATAAAATATATATATATATATATATATATATA